AGATTTAACCAATTTTCTTTTTTTTTAATGTTTTAAAATTTTCTAGAATTTTATACATGAGTACTGTATTTTCATTATAAAAAGTCGTAACATGAACTCTGAATGCAAACTGTTCAGATAAATGTCTGGTGCTAATTAGAATGGGTGGTTTTAGATACCATTTTGGATTAGCCTCTTCATTTTTCTGTGCTTAGTTAATTCAGTTTTGCAACATTTCATTAGTAATCAACACCAGCATTATTCATTAGGTTATCTACCTGAAGTCTTGGTTATGCAATATGCGCAAATCTAATTCTGTTTGATTTTTAAGTTAACTCTTTTCAGTACCAAAAATCAATAAAACAACAATTTGAGGGGATTTAGTCTTTCTAATTCACCTGCCATTAATATGGTGTTGGTGTTCTTCCTGACTAATACTGATTCCAGGCCCCCTAATCTACCTGTAATTCCTCCCAGATATTAATATGCTAGTATCATACTTTTAAGAATATTGCTGTCTGTCTTCCTTTTAAATACTTGATGTAAGTCAACAGATGTGGGTGGTTTTGACTGGTGGTTCATTCTGTTTCTACCAAATTACCAACAAGCTGTGAATACATAGATTTTTCCCTATGTGATAGAACATACATTTCAAATTTCTTTCGACAAAGATGGTATGGGTATTTTTCACAAAGTAGTCTAACGTGCATATTAAATTTACTAATACTCATCTCAGTGTAACTCTTTCTCGCATCTGTTGGTAACTTCTTTCTCTGTAGTCTTTGTTCTCAGACCTTCAACTTCACACTACCCAGTTCTAACATTTCCAGAAGTCTTGTGATTGCCTTATTCACTCAAAGTATCCAAATAATCATGTGACCATCTCTTCTCCCTAAGGAACTCAGATCCCAATATCCTGATTTCTGCACAACGCAGATCTCTGTGAGTTCAAGGCCAGCCTGAACACTACCTTTCATGCTAGGTACACTCAACCATTTATCACAGATGTGTCTTTCCTTGGCATCTTCTGTATCCAGTTATCACCAAATCTTTTCAGTATATTCCAAAATTATAGAATATACAGCTGAATTAAGAAGGTAGGAGAGCCTGCTTTATCTTAAGGAAAATTTACTTTTGCATGTTTTATCTATACCGAAATCTGATTAATATGAATTGAAAATGTTGTTTCAGTCTGGCCCTACCTTGGCAATCCAGTTTATCTATAAATCTAGGCCATGTTCTCTACTCACAGTCTCCTTAGATTAGTACCTAAACATTCTCAGACTCCATTCCAACACCAGAGCAGTGGTCTTGAGTTTTTATCCGCACAAGCTCACCTCAGCTTGTCTCACTTTACTTAAGCCATCATGATTCTACCTGATATTTAATTCTAATTTTAAGGCTCTCAAATGAGTAGCTATTTTGTTATTTTTTATCTTATTTTATTTTTTATTTTTTTGCCCTACCTTAACTTTCCATTCTTAGGTGGACTCCATCTTTTCACATTTTCAAGTTCTCGTATTGCTTAACTCTTGTAATTAGGAGCCTTGATTTGGTGGCCTTTGTGTTCATCTTTCAAGTGCTTTGAACAATGATAGCAGCCACTAATCATTCAAGAAACATTTGCTTATTTTAATATAAAAGGAATTGAACCAATTGTTTTCTTTGCTTGGAGTTGGTTATGACACGTTGGAAAAATGTCCTACCTAACTTCTCTGTTTCTTCTCATGTGCCGGTGGACTGCGTTATAACCACAGAATGAAGGTCAGTTTATCTCAGGCCTCATTATATAATTTGGAAGCATCCGTTGTTGGGTAGTCTACCGAGTTAAAACTCATGCCAGCTGGATTATTCTGGTTTTAAACTGGCTCTCCCTTGAGGAAGGAGGAAACAGGCAAAACGCCTCAGGCATTGAGGCTAGAAATGGTGTGAGTTCCATTGTGTAGGAAGAGAAGCCCATTTTCCCCTCCTGCAGAAAATCCTGCCAGGAAACAGCAGCCAAAGGACAAATAAATATCACAAGAAATTTAAAGAAGGATTTTTTTTTTCCCCTCTAGGAAAATATTGCAAACCTAAAAGCAAAATTTCTAAAATTAAATTTGGTAGATTCCTCTGGAAAGTGTCTGCTTCTACTAAGCCTACCTTATGAGGGTACTTTGGATGCATTCTTCTCTCTGGAAGTGAAATGGATCTTTATAATGAGTTTGGATATTGGGACAAAAGGGACTTGAGGAAAGGGGGTTCATCCTTCTTTCTGGCATCTAGCACATCATTGGTAATTAAAATTCCAAACTTTGTGTAATGATGCTCTGTTCTCTCCTAAGTCCAAAAATCATGAGATAAAAGTTAGATATGATATTTGATACTTAGAAAATAATAAAGAACCTTGTCATTCAGAAGCTGCTACACGGAGCTCTGCAAAGCCGATGGGGACAGCATACCATCAAAGCCAGTGGAATGTCTATTGGCCTGAATCATGTGACAGCTCTAGATACAGTCCTCCAGGGAGGCACAGAGCAGGCTTCTTTCAGATCATGTCCACAGAAACATCAGAGGAGGAAACGGGAAGATGAGGCTAACAAAGCAGTTGGCTCCCAGTGAATCCTGTCCCTTTTCTTTGTCCTTTTCCTGGTTCCCATCCCTAGACTATTGGAGTCCAATCCTTATGCAGTGCTCTAGGTGACAACAAACTGTTCTTATCTCCCATTTGAGAGAATGACAGTTTTAAATATCCTATTTCTGTGATGGAGTGTGTGACCATATTCCTGGTTGATTTTGCTTGGGACATTCCTATCTGTTTTGTTTTGTGAAATAAAAATATGTTGTATGGAGTTGTTTGTCTTATAGATATTGTGGTAATTTCAGTTCCTTATTTGGGAGAAATAAAATTTCTTTGCATGTAGCAGCTTTCAAAAGATTGGGGCCTGAGACAGGACGCGGCTCAGAGAACGAAGTCTTATCTAGCATGTTCAAGGCTTCTGGGTTCAATCCTCAGTACTGCCAAAGAAAGCTTGAAAGTTTGAGGACCTGGTCTACATAGTAAGTTCCAGGCCAGCTGGGGCTACAGGAGAGCCTGTCTCAAAAAGACCAAAAAAAAGTTGTTTTAAGTTTGAGGACTGGAGAATGTTTATCTATGATTTACAAAAGCCACTTCTTTCTGGCCTCTGCCTTGTCTCTCTGAGGTGCTTCAATATCTGACTTCTAAAACGGTATTTTTTCAATAAATGCAAACATCTTCATAGACTTAGGAAGCAAAAAGATTTGCTGGAAACTGGAATTCACTATTAACTGCCTGATATCAAGATAGCATATGCCAGTGGATGCTTCTTCAATGACATTAAGTGTGTTGTGGAAAAACAGTAAAATTATCACTAGTAAAATTTATAAATTCTGGTTCCTTAAGGCTTTCCCCATTTAAAAAATCATTAAAAATCTGTCAAAATAATGGCATTTTCAGCCTATTACATACTTGGTTTCAGCCTTTTTGCTCATTTCTGCTGGAATTTTCAGGCTGTATTCCATGATCTGTATCCATGAGAGTAAGGGACAACAGGACACAGTGTCAGTGATTCACATTTGTAAAGTAGACAAGGATGATAAAGGCCATTAGCCCAAACTCTTCCAGGTTAAGAGTTAAAAACATAAATGTTGTGATAACACCACATTTGTTTGTAACCTCCCAGTGACAAAATGTGTTCCTTTGTACTTTCACACTTGATCCTGTCAGGGACCCTGAGAGGATGTGTTTGAGGGGGTTCGTTGTGCGTAGGGATGTGCAAATATATACTCAGACACCAGAAAATAATGTTTGCATAGAGATGTGTTCACTGACTAAAAATGCTTTAAGAACACAAAATTGATAACTTAGTGTCCGTCTAGAAAGAAAAATGTAGAGCATTCAACATTTTGTAGCTATTCAGAATTGCATGGCTGTTATCTCAGTACCACACCTGTGGACGCACGAAAGCAAACATTGTTGCTCATCATCTCTGCCTGATTAGGGCTAGTGAGAAGAGTTATTCTGATATTGTCAAGATTGCATAGTAATAAAATTGTGGCCAATAGGCCCAGGAAGAACTGATGGTGTGGTGACCAGGAACTTACAACTACTGAAATTTTATGGAAATACTGTAGCTAAGCTTTAAAGTAGTTGGCGTTAGCTGTCAGATGCAGTAATATTTCTTCAAAGGGTAGTATGCTGAGTTCCTTTCCAACAAGTTCAGACTTGTCTATAGGGAATCTTGGACATAGGCACCATGGCTCATTTTATCAAGAGAAGCTGATTTCCTCCAGATATAAAGGTATGTGCTGACAGAGAATGTTGATAGCTCCCTTGTTCATTAGACTGAAGGGGCCAAGGTGTGGCCACACTTGGAGTTCTAAATGGCTGGCAAGACCAGAACTTACTACTCTTGGTGTTCCTGGGTTTTGGGGAGTACATAGTCATATAAGATCAAAGTCTGCAAGGCCTCCCTGATGTTTGAAAGATGGATCTCACCTTTTGACTTCCCTTCTTTTACACCTCCTTGGGATAGCTCATTAATACAGTATTTTAAAGTGAAATTGAGCCCATTTGGTCCTTAGGAAACAGGCATAAGAAATGTTAAGTGTTACAGAGGATAGCTTCTGTTCCCTTCTATGGCCTGTCTTACTGATGGTCCCATCCTGATCAAATTAAAGTGAGCTACTCTGGTCCTGTATTGAAGCAGTGTGTGTGTGTTTGAGGGGGTGTCCATTTGCTGTAAGGTGGTTCTGTGGCAGGATCTGAAAATCTCCATGTGTCCATGCTATTTCCTGAGGTGAGCGACCACAAGAAGTGGAAATTATTACAAGGTGTTTTGTATCGTCATGAAAAGTATTACAGTACCATAGTCTGAGGCAATGAAAGACATCCTGGGGTCCCTACAACAGATGTGTCAGTGTACTTATGACTTCTTCAGCCTCTGAGTAAGATTTCATGAACATGGTCCGTCACTGCTTGGCTTTACCTTGTTTTGTTTTGTTTTTTTGTCTGATTACAGGTCCCACAGGTATGGATCTTTGGCAGCTGCTCTTAACCTTGGTACTGGCAGGCTCAAGTGATGCATTTTCTGGAAGTGAGGGTGAGTTCTGCTTTTCTCTGAGTTTTATGAAACAAATCTGAGCTTTGTTAAATCCCACAATAAATGATCTAAGTTTTAGATGACAACAAACAGGAGCTTCAGCTTTAAAAATCATAAACCAGGAGGGCTTCTCTGGGGATATTTTAGGAGGACTACTGTAGTCAGCTTTGGCATCTGGTGTTTTCACATTGAAAGTAAATGCTATACAGTGTGCTGAGGACATTTATGTTGAAGTCAAGCCAGGTCTCTGGGAGAGATATTAAAACTCCACAGGAACGTTATTAGCCTACGAATCACTCAGCTCATCTGTGACAAAGGATATCATTGTCTATTTCCAGAGCTCAGAATGCAGGCATCTCAGTCATATTCTCTGAGGGTGGAAATGGCACATTTCAGATGAATTTGTTGTCTCATTCTCTGGATGACTTCCATTTAGCTACATTTGAGGGAAGACACCTGAAATAGTTGAATGATATACCCAGAAGTCCTGAGCTTCCTTAGCAATGTGCATAAGTTTCCCTTCTTTTTATACCCTTCTTCTGGCAGTCTCAATATTTTCAAACTCAAGCTTCATAGCAGAAACAAGGGAGTGTAATGAAAGGGAGGAAAAGAAAGAAAACCGTGCTCACTAAGGAGGGGTTGGTGCATCTTGAGGATTTGACTGTTTTATTTACCTGGGCTTCTCCAGAGCACAGGAACAATACGATTTTCCCATGCTGTGACACTGGAGTTGTTTCTTTAAGAGTAGCTGACTCACAATGCCCAGCTCATGTTGGAAAACACAGTTTAACGGCAGACTTAGCGCCTTAAGATGTCCTCCTGACCTTGTAACCAAAAATAAATGCATAGTACTGAGCTGTCGAGTGTGACCAGAGTAACTTAGAAAAGGGAAAGGGTAAAATATGTTATTTTATTTCTTAAAGCAATTTAGAAATATTTATAGAAAAGAAGTCATAGTTGTTTGAAATAGCTTTGGGTCTCTCTGGTGTTATAATGTCAACATTATGCAAGTCAGACATGGAGAGAATCACAGGCTCCATTTCAGCAGCTTTTCCCATGGCTGCTTTTAGACCCTGGTTCTGAGCCAAAGAATTACAGCTCAGATCCTCTGCTGTTCCAAAGTCCTGGTAGTTTAATCTCTCCTTTCTTCACTAAGGTGACTTTCACTCCACAGGGCAAGGCTTGAGGAATTTAAAAGCTATGACATGAAAAGTATGGTGTAAGGATCTTTAAAAAAAATTTTTTTTAATGCATCCCAGACAGAGTAAGTAGGGCTTGAGTTACATTTCAAACCTAGAGAATTTACAGACAGAGTCTATTTCAGTAGCTTTAACATTTTAACAACTGTTGACTTCATAAGAAGAATGAGGACCAAAAAACTAACTTTATTTTAAATGAATTTCATTGTGTCTATTTCTGATACACAGTGTTATAATACACACACACACACACACACACACACACACACAAAGTTCTGAATCCAAGAGACAATGGTTACTATAAGGAAACAAATTAACCCATTCATTCGTCATCTCACATAGTTACCAGTTTTTTCCTGTAGCAAGAGAAACTTCAAATCTACTTGTCCAGCAGAAATCCTGAATATAATAACCTAGTTGGTATATATTATTAGATCACTGGATTTGTTAATGCTACAAATTTGCTACTTTATATCCTAAGGCCCATAATCTGCCTATATCTTTCCCTACTCAAACCCTGATAACCACTGTCCTCTGTCTCTACATATTTGACCTTCTCATTTTAGGATTACACATCAATAAAATCATGTTTATGTTTCTTTCTAGGTCTGACATTTCATTTAGACTAATATCCTCTAGGTCTACTCATACTGTGGCAAATGGCAAGATTTTCCCGTCTTGAGACTGAAGAACATTGCTATTTCTCTGTGTGTCTGTCTCTGTGTGTCTGTCTCTGTGTGTCTGTCTCTGTTTCTCTCTCTCTCTGTGTGTGTGTGTGTGTGTGTGTGTGCATGTGTGCATGTGTGTATATGTGTCATGGTTTCTTTACCCATTCATCCATCCATGAGGATTAGCTGGGTTGTTTCATATCTTAACTGTTGTGAATAGTGCTGCAATGAATCAAGGAATGGAGCTCTTTTCTTACAGCAGTGATTTTATTACCTTCATTGGGTAGTTTCAAAAATGGATTTTTAATTTTCTTTTAATTATTTGTGTTTGATTTTTGTTTGTTTGGAAAAAAGAAAGATAAGAAGATGCAATATTTTAGAGCAAGCACAAATCATAGATTTTATCAGTACTTGCACATAGGAAGTAATTTAGCAGATAAGACATTTTTTCCACCTTCCTTTTCTTTCTTGTTAACCAAATTTTCATTGGAATATGTAAATATTCCAGAAAACATTCTTAAAATGGCCAGGGGGTTAAGGATAATCCCTATTTGCTTAAGAAGGCGTGGGTGAGCATATTCAAGCATGGTCGTACACACGGGCAGGTGTGTGTATGTATTTGTTTGCTAGTTCTGGCCACTTACCTAATAACTTCGGCCAAAGTTACCACATGACTTGACATGGGTCATTATCTCAGATGACATTCATGGACCGTGTGTTTCTTTTTCTGCCAGGCCTGGATCAAATTATTTTATTTTTAATTTCTCTTCTATTGTATAAGGCAGACTAAATATAGGTAGAGAATTTTGTAATAAAAAAAGATACTACTATAGTTTTATAATCCATTTATTTAGTTCAGTTTGATCTGTGCCATATATATCACTGTGGAGTATGCGATCATGGAGAGTCACCTGTAGAAAAGCCACTCGAAACCTGGACTGAGGATGATAGTTCTGTAGGCTAGGAGAATGTTGGCTCTTGCATCCTTGGGCAAGGTCTTAACTTGTTTGGGCAAATAAAGCAACCAGAAATATGCTGGGTCTGTGAGGATTTTCTTTAATTAAATCTAATTGCTCTCTGGGAAATTTAATGGGAATAAAACATTGAACAGTGCCATCATTGTATTATCTAAAATGTTGTAATAGATTTTTTTCTTCCACTCATTCTTAATATGAGGCTCTATATGTACTTGTCAATGCAAGTTGCATAGTCTTATTCCGTAATCAAGAATGGTCAAAACCATCTCATTTTCAGAAGCTGGAAGATTCAACTGGCTATACTTGAAATATTGCTAATGATAATGTACATAAAGGGCTAATGGATATAAGGAATGTCCATTATAAAGTATGTCGTCTATCTTTACTAGACCACATACTCCTCACCCCAGCATCCCCTTGGATTTTAGCAGCTTTAGGTAGAAGTAAGTAAATTCCTGCTCTGTGAAGTTCAGTATATCTAGGACATGAAGAACTTCTAGAAATGAGTGAGGGACTGTGTAGCTTTAACATCCAAATTTCATAATGAAGACAAATTATCAAGACGACCTGAACAAAGTTATTCATGTAAACTTGGAATAGTTAATTCAACAAGTTCAGTATATAAATATCTCTTCAGATCGTTCTGTTTAGGGCCATTGAGGAATACAGTGAAAGCCCTCAATGAACTTATAATAAGCTAAGAAATTGAGCATGCTACTGAGAATTACAGTATCTGGTTGTGTGTATGAACTGTCGAAGTGGTCCAAACTGTACTGGGTAAAGGGAGCAATGAGTGTGGAGAACAGTTCATTCCATCACTAAGCTGTAATGCTTACTGCATGAGTGAGGCATGGAGCAGTTCCATTCCATGCACATTTGAAATTCAACCAATATCTACTGAGCACTTATTTTGTGGAAAGCATACGATTCATTTGGTCAAGTCATGGTACATGGGCTCTGTGTTTAGAATCATTTCCCTTGGCAGCAAATTTAAGTCAGTTGATTTGAGTCAAATTACGGACAATCTACAGGTAGCAAAGACTTCATGGACAGGACAGGACTTGCCACACCTTGAAGAATTGGTAGTATGTGGACTGGAAGAAAACAAAGAGGAAAAATGTACCCTATCCAGCAAATGATACTTTTTCAAAGGTATAGGTGGGCCAACCTAAACAAAAGTAGTAGCCACAGGATGGGTATTATTTATGCATCCTTAGTATTTATATACAGCATATGTATTATTTAGGTATGATGTTTATATATAATATATGGAGATTTATATGTGTAGCTATACACATACATATACATAAATATAATAGATTCCTTTAGCACAATCTGTATACAAAGCTTATCATTAGCATCTTCCCACTCTGGAGATTGATTCTTCAAAGAGTATTGCATCATTCTATACCAATAATAATAATAAACTTTATTAGAATAATGCCATGTTCTAAAGGGATAAGAATTCCCCCATAAAGCAGTTTCTCTACATCTCTGAATGTTCTTTATAACCACATGAGTGATATAGCACTTATATGGAAGAAAACACTCTGCTGATCTTATTGTTCAACAGGAAATAATTGCACAGCTGGAGGGATTTTTATTTTTTAAACAAATGCTAACCCACTACAACTGAAGCTCCACACAGTCCTAAGAGGTTGCCAAGACACACTGGATATATTTCAAAGAAGTACTAGAGTCACAGTTACAGTCGATAAATAGTGAAGGGCGTCGCTTTAAACATGTTCAAAAAAAGAGTGATTTAAAGCTTGACCTCCTAGAAGTGAGGGGGAAAGCCACAGAGCTTTCAACTCCTGCTTTCTGCTTTCCTGACTGTCACCTAGGGCAAGAAGAATCTTATAATCTGATCTAGCACATGGCCCAAGTCCATGTACATCAACAATCCTGTGTCACCTTGACCTCTTCATATCACAAAGTGGCTTTGACATTGGACTTCAGCATGTTGAAGCAGGCCAGGTGACTCTAGACAGTGCCAGTGGGAGATGAGAGCACAAACCTTTGAAAACAATGGCATAAAAGTCTTTCAGCAAATTTTTATCCTTTTTGGATTCAAAGAAGAAATTATAATTTATGTTCCTGGCTTTGAGGAGCCTATAATTTACAGAAGAGGAGACAGAGATGTAAACATAATTCAG